TTTTTTTTAGTGTGCATCTAAACAAATGTATCTGGACTGGGGACATACATAGCTTAGTGGTAGAGTGCTTGTATAGCATGCTCAAGGTCCTGGGTTTGATCTTCAGTACTGCAATAAATAAGCATGTCTTTCAGTACTCATTAAATACAATTCTTCTCATGACTGTTTTGACAGCCACAATATAATAAAAATTTTCTAAGGAATTGATTGATTCCAAGAGATGTTTATAAAATTGGAGTGGCTGGAGGTATAGCTCAACCCCAGCACTGCAGAAATAAATAAAAAAAATAAACTCAGGAAAAATGTCAAAAAATTGAGAAGTCATGTAGGAAATTGAATGAACTTCTAGGTCTTTTTGGATATTTTCTTTAGTCAGTGGCAAAGTTGAAAACCCACTACATTCAGAAAACATTGACTTTCCTGAAGAGGGAATCTAGTCTGTTGGAAACCGTTTCTTAACAAATACTTGATAGAATGTTTGCTCAGATAAATGGTATAAAATTTGGAGAACTCAGGAACTGGGATTGTAGCTTAGTGGTGGAGAACTTGCCTCTCATGTGTGAGGCACTAGTTTGATCCTCAGCCCCACATTTAAAAAAATAAATAAAAGTATTGTGTCCATTTAGAACTAAATATGTGTGTGTGTGTGTGTGTGTGTATGTGTGTGTATGTGTATGTGTATGTGTAAGGTTTTTTTTGAGAACTCATGAAAGTGAGTTTTATTCCTGATCTTAGAGTCCTAAGAGTATGTTTTGGTATTAGAGAGGAAGATAGAGAGGCAAGGGTATCTCTCATTAAGTTTGAACTGAAAGAGTCCTTTGGAGTCTAAGCATCACTCATGTAAGAGTCCTGCTACACTACTCCTGACAGCTTCTGCTTTTAGCAGTAGTGAACTTTATGAGATAGCCTCTTCACAGGTGAATAGAAGTGATTATTAGAAATACTCTTTTGAACCAAAATAATGTTGCTCAGTCATAGAGTGCTTTCTTGGCATGTGAGAGGCCCTGGGTTTGATCCCCAATGCCACCAAAAGAAAAAAAAAAATAAGATTTTTTTTAACCTATTTCTTTTAAATAAAAGAGACATCATGTTCCTCCCCACCACACACATAATAATTGGAAGTTCTTGGGTAGGCTGTTTTGAATCCATAAACTGGCAGTGAATAGTCTATTCTTGTCCTGATCCTATTCCATAAAAACAAACCCTTCATTACTGAATTGATTTATTGCCTGTCATCATTGTCAAGTTCTCTGTTAATATAATTACCAAGTCATGGCTGTTCCCATAAAATCCCACGGCAGGCAGGGTTTATTCATTAAAGTTGAGACTGAAACCTAAATGAGTTTAAAAAAAAAATTAGTTGCCTTATTAAAATATATTATTCTACCTTGAAGGAAAATATAGGAAATAAACTACCTATGTGCTTGCCACCAACCTGTAATTCCTAACATTTTGCTGTAATTGCTTCAAATGCAGGGAAGAGAGAATATTCTTTAAAAATGAAAGCCTATAGATAGATTTGAAGTCCTTACACCTATCAGTATCATTCTTTTTTTATTTATACTGGGGATTGAATGCAGGGGCACTTTACCACTGAGCTACATCCCCAAACCTTTTATTTTTTACTTTGAGACAGGGTCTTGCTAAGTTGCCGAGGCTGGCGTCAAACTTGTGATTTTCTTGCCTCAATCTCCCAAGACACTAGGATTACAGGTGTGCTATCAATGTCATTCTTAAAATCTGAGACTTTACTTGATTTGTGGATTTTCAGGTGAATAATTAGCTCAAATAGTTCCAGTCAAAATAAAGAGCATTCCCAGAACCACACTAATCTCAGTCACCCACTTTGTGATTTTGAAGAGAGAAAATAAGGCAATCCTTTTGTTCACTTGTAGTGCTATCATTTAACTTTAGAAGATTTGCCAGAAATCTTTTTCAAGGCTAGCTTAGTGTCAGTACAAGCTTTGCACAATGTTATTCAACTGTGCAGTCTTCCTATGTTTTGATACAGTGGTTATTTTCACATTTACTTTATCATTTAGTTTGACTGCATTTGAGTTGCTTATAAAAGAAGATCCTTCAGTGGAGTTTTTAGTGTACCTACTTCCACCACCTCCAGAAAGGAATTCTGTATTTTTGTCTTTCTAAATGTGAAATATATTGGTTGGCACTGTTGTTAATGAGGTGGTGAAACTGTAATTAAGTTTCTTATTTCTGGAATGAGAACTCATTCCAGTGTTATGTATTATAAAGTCAGTATCATTATGTGACACTGTTATTGGGTCTTCAGAAGATGAACTTCAAGAGCTCTTGGGTCAAATTTTCTCTCTAAAACCTGGTTTTCCTTCTTTAGTGTGGTAGAAGAAGAGACAAGGCGATCCCAGCAAGCTGCTCGAGATAAACAGAGTCCCAGCCAGGCCAATGGCTGCAATGACCACAGGCCCATCGACATCCTAGAGATGCTGAGCAGAGCCAAGGATGAGTATGAAAGGGTAAGGTGCTCCAGGTGCTGACCAGGGAAGACCAGAAGGGGTTGGGGGGAAGAAGGCCTTCGAGAAGGCTTTATGGACTGAATAAGTTATCTCTAGAGCCAACAGTAATAATTGGTCCAAAAAGAAAGCATGTAAAGTCTGAAGGGTAAGAAATCTATTACCTGAGAGTACTTGTTTGGATAGGAAAGTTTAGAATGCTTTTTTCCTATACTTATAATTATAGCAAAATAGCTCAGTGGCAGAGCACTTGCTTAGCGTGTGTGAGGCACTGGGTTTGATCTTTAGCACCGCATAAAATTAAACAGAAAAAAAAAATAAAATAAAGGCATTCTGTCCATCTACAGCCACAAAAAAATCCTAATAATAAAATTATTATGGAAGAAAAAGGAGGAAAGAAGTTGGCCCACATCAAGTAGTTCTGGAAAAACTTATACATCTTTTTCACACCTGCAGCCTCAGTTTGGATGATGAATAGTCTTAGGAATTTACATAGATTTTGAGAAGTACTCTAATATTTTGCACTTCATATTACTAAAATGTATATTCATGATCTATAATTGGTAGTGGATAGACAGTTTCATGAAGAATTTTAAATTCCAGATTTAAAATTTGGAATTTTACCTGAAACTGATAATTTTCTCAAAAGCAGTATTGTCTTTTTCTTCTATTTTACATTTTACCTTATAAGTTAGCTGTTAAAAATTTTCTTCCAAAATTTGGATAATATGGAAGTTAAAGTATGTTAGTTAATTTATTCAATGCATGCTTATGAGTTCACTGTGTGCCAAGAAGTAGACACTTCTTGACAGTATATAGAAGGCTTGCCTATATCTGAGGAACTATCCTGACTTTTCACTTGACATCAGTACCTCTGTGCCCCACGCTTCACTGGAGTGAGACTGAAGCTTTCCATAGCTGTTTTTTATTTCAACAGAATTAAAATTGTCACCTTATTCCTCACTAAAATTTGGTTCTCTTAACCCAATTTCATCTTCACCTTACCAAAACTTCAGGAAACAAATTGAGGAAAAGCACCATCTAGGGGTAGGGATTGTGGCTCAATGGTAGAGCATTTGCCTCTATTAAAAATAAATAAAATAACAACCAATAAAAAAAAGAAAGGAAGGGAGGAAGGGAAAGGAAAGGAAAGGAAGGGAAGGGAAGGGAAAGGAAAGGAAAAGAAAGAAAGAAGGAAGGAAGGAAGGGAGGGAGGGAGGGAGGAAGGAAGGAAGGGAGGAAGGGAAGGAAAAAATCAATATAGACTTGAATTACATCCACAAAATACCTTCACAGCAAACCCAGATTAGTTTAGACTTAATACCTGGGGACTATAACCTACCTGCATTCACTCACAAAACTCACCTTGACAAGGTTCATCTTTCCTTCGTGACTGCCTGCCCTGCTGTCTCAGCAGGATTATCATTCTATACAGAGCCAAAACAGCCGTTCAGTAACCTTGTTCCTATAGTTCTGGAAGCTCCCTGAAATAAATGCCTTATTTTCTTTCAAATAAATAAATAAATAAAATAAAGATATTGTGTCCATATACAACTAAAAAAAAAAAGCACCTTCTAAGCTCATGTTTCCCAAACAGTTCTGCTTTAGCACTAGCTTCTGTAGTAATACCAGATGATCTTTGAAAAAAGGTTCAAGTTGCTAAAGAGTTGAGGAAATGTTGTTAGCGTGTCTGCTTGCATCCTCTTGGCTTTGCAGTACTCAAGACTGAGCAATTTCACTACCAGGACCATTTCTCAATTACTACTCTTTAATGTCTTAAGAATCTGGAATTCAGGGAACAAAGCTTGAAAAAAAGTGTTCTGGAAGATAGTTTTCTCTAGAAAGGAAGAGTCATATTCACCATAAACTATGATAAGTTTTCTGTATTTAACCACCAAAAACAGTCTCTTTTCCTGAATGGAGAAATGTACATGCAAGCCCATGAAAAGTTTCTACTTGTCTCAAATTCATCAGTGTCTCATGGAGAAATAGGAGTAGTTTATGTATGTATGAAAAGCTCTCGACTCTAATACATTGAGAATATATTTTAAGAATTTTTTTTTTTTTTAGGTTACCTTAGGGCTGTCAGTATAGTTCAATGGTGGAGTGCTTGCCAGGCATGCAGGAGGTCCTGGGTTCAAACCCCTGCACCACCCAAAAAAGGGAAGGGGAAAAAAAAAAGCTTACCTTACATTTGAAAAAAAAAGAGGGGATCCCTTACTAAACACTTAGTTAAGTTTTTTCCTTTCTATTTCATATTTTTTCCTTTTTCATGCTGGGAACAGACCCCTGAACGTTGCACATCTTGAGCAGCACCCCCAGCCTCAAAGCAATTTTTTTTTTTTTTAACATAAAGCTTTTAAAAACATCCAGTATTATGTAAGCAATCTAAAAATCTGGGCTGATTTCTAGTTATATAAATATTGCAAAAGTCGGGGCTGGGGATGTGGCTCAAGTGGTAGCACGCTTGCCTGGCATGCGTGCGGCCTGGGTTCAATCCTCAGCACTACATACAAACAAAGATGTTGTATCTGCCAATAACTAAAAAATAAAAAATATTAAAATTCTCTCTCTCTCTTAAAAAAAAACTCTAAAAAAAATAAAAATAATATTGCAAAAGTAAAGAATTTGGAAAGTAATCTGTTTTTAAGAAAATTCTTCAACAGTATAGAATAAAAAAAATAATGTCTAAAGTTAGATTAGAACAGAACTAAGGTTTAGTTAACTCTGACAATTCCTTTAATGTATGCTGTTTTTGAAAATTGTAAATAGGTGGAACTTTCCTAAGTAAGCATTTTTGGTTTTTTTATCTGTGCTTGCCTGTCATCTAACCAAATGGAGCTGGTATTAGCAGTGACCCATGGATCCATATCTTAGTGTTGGATAGACTCTCACCAGCTGCACGTGGTTCCAGATGGCCCTTTGTTTATCTTTGGTAGAGACTTGGGGGATTGGCAGAGTCAAGAGTAGAGGTGGGTGGGGGTGCTCAGTGGCAGAGCACTTGCCTGGCATGTGTGAGACACTGGATTCGATCTTTAGCACCCTCATAAAAATAAGAAAAGGCATGCGGTCCATCCACAACTACCAAAAAAAAAAGAAGAAAGAAAAGAAAACAGAGAGTGTAGTGGTGTAAGCAAGGCCTCAGTGATAGGATTTGGTCCCAGCTCTGAATCTCCCCTGTCCAATGTATATAATATAATGGACTGAAATCCAGACTTTTGAGTGGGGAATTTATGATACACTGTTTAAAAATTAAAATTCTATAAGAATTTTATCTATAAATCCTATAGTTTCTTTTAACCAACTTTCCTATTTTTAATGGAGTGAAAGATAGTTGAAACCACAGTCCTTGACAGTTGGCCCATTTTGAGTTGATTCTAGCCATAGCTATACTCCTGGATTATTTGTTTGGTTTTTTGTTTGTTTGTTTTGGTCCTGGAACCCAGAACCTTGCACATGCCAGGCAAGTCCTCTAACACTGTGTTGCATCTCCAACCCCTAACCCTGGATTTTGTTCAGGTTTTTGTTTTGTTTTAGTTAATTTTTGCCAAAAAATAAATAAAAAAGAAAGAACTCAGCAATATGACTTTGGAGCAAAGTATAGAATGTAGAATTAATTTTTCCTAGGATAAATTATTGAAGTGGTGGATCAAAAGATTTTAAAATCTTTTTTTTACCAAATATTGTAAAAATTATCCTCTATCAGGTTTCTCTGTGAGTATGCATTTCCCCCTAAATTTTACAAAGCCTGAATGACATCATTAACACATAAAATAGGGTTAAGGTTGTAGCTGAGTGGTAGAGCACTTGTCTTAGCATGTGTGAGGCACTGCATTCAATTCTCAGCACCACATATAAAATAAATAAAAATAAAAAGGTCCATCAACAACTAAAAAATATTTTTTAAAAAATCCACAAAAGCCCTATACAAGTATCAAAAATACGTAAAATCCATAAGAATTTATTAGCGTATACGATGTAACAACAAGTACTGCAAACTCAAATGCCTGAAGAGGCAGGTCAACCATTGTAGTGAATAAAGTGGGCCAGAGCAGAACTAAGGCAGACTGAGAACCCGTTTCTGGGTAAAAGGTTCAGTTGGAGCTCAGCCCCAGCCAATGACTGTCACATGACTTATCATTCAGCCTCTCTGAAAATGACAAACCTGAATTTTTATAGGGAAGTTCCCAACCTTTTTTTGTTTCTGAACATGACATCTTCCGTCTTAAGAAACTTGTTACGTGATCTGAGAATGTTGCTCATTGGTAGAGGTCTTGCCAAGCCCCAGGTTTGATCCCTAGCAAGCATAGAAAATTAAAACATAATAAAAGAACTTGTTACGAAGCCTTTTGTGGGGGGAGGTGGGGTGCCAGGGATTGAACACAGGGGCATTCCATAATTGAACTACATCCCCACCCATTTGAGTACCAATTCCTAGGCTAAGCATCATGTATCTTTGAAGTATGGTATCAAGAAAATTATCTTTCTCAGAACTGAAGTTTGGAGAGCTGCCCCTTCCCCCTGCCCATCGTGTGTTTTGACATGGACAGTGCTGGATCATATAGCCCAAATATAACTTGAGTTTCCAAAAATTCATAATTTTTATGTCTATCTGATCATTCATTAGTTTGGGGGTTTTGTTTGTTTGTTTTGAGGTTTTGTTTTCTTTTTTGGTACTGGCAGTTGAACCTGGGATGCTTTACCACTGTGCCACATCTCCCCAGTCCTTTTTATTTTTTATTTTGAGGCAGGGTCTCACTCAGTTGCTGAGGCTAGCTTCAAACTTTTGATCCTCCTATCACAGCCTCCCGAGTCACTGGAATTTCAAGCATGTGCCACCATACCTGGCTGGTTGAGGATTCTAAAAACAAAAATATTCTCACTTTTTTTGTTATATACAAATTAGAATTTAAATTTGAAACAGTTGGATGTCCATATATGTGCACATACCCACAAAAAGTGAACCCCAATCTAAATGTATCCCTTATACAAAAATCAACTGTAACTGGGTCATAGATCTAAGTGTAAAATATAAAAATATATAAAACTTTTGGAAGAAAAAATTTATTTACCACGGGACCCACCATTACCTTTCCTAAGTTTTTGCCCTAGAGAAATAAAACTCTTGGGTGAGAGTTCTATGGATTGATTTTAAGGCCTTACACATATGAGGCAAGTGCT